AATTTCATTTGAACAAAAATGTGCTCTATAATCTTAATTGCAGAGAAGAGAAATCAATAGTAGATAATCTTTTCTGATTATCTTGTTCATTATGAAGTTGCAAAGATAATTTCTTAACTGTATCATAGAAACAAGGCAGAGCTACATTATTTTAAGTAAGATGATGAAAATACAATCAAGTTATACTTTGCAAAATTATGACTTAAGTTCTGCTTCAGCACAGCTGTTAAAACTGCAGACAAGTTAAAGTAGTTCTGTCAAAATCCAGAATTCTTGAAAACTGGTTGTTTCAAGAATTTCATAGTGATTTTGAAATTAATGAATATGCCTGTAACATGTATTATTCTCACCAAAAAGAGGTCAGTCTTTCTTCAATATTGGTAAATGCTGGAGTCTTAAGTATTTAACAAATTAAGGCTAGCACAATCATCTGAGAGGTCATTCCATTTTTCGTCATCTTAACAGCTGTTTTCACCTCTTCAACAGTAATTCGTATTACTGGCCCAACAAGAGAATTAGTGTGAATTCTTTATTGCATATTTTTTCAAAGTCTTCTTTTTAGCATTGCAGTATGGCATGTGGATAGCACAACAGTTGTTGATTGGAATCTTTGTTCAGCATTACAAATCCAATATTTTCTGTAGCTTGGTGGCAAGCTTTAGCCAGGTGGTAAATATTGTTAGCTCAAATTACTTAAGAGATTATATAAGGTAAAAAGGAACTATCATAATAATTGGTTTAACAAATTTAGTTTGTTATTAGCTTGTTTTGGGATTCATGTACTTGATCTTTCAGAGGATGATTGGAATGACAGATTTGTTATCTTAGTAGAAAACATATTTAATAGTATACTGGACCAGGAAGGAGTAAATTTCTAAATTCAAAACATCATCCATGGTATGCAAATGATCTAAATTCTTCTCCATCAAGCAGTTTTATTAACTTTCAAATTCCAGACAACATTAAGAGGTTTTACATGCATTTAAGACTAAACTGTGAATATGTATTGTTAGATAGAAAGTATTTGGTCATTAAATATGGTTTGTGCAAATTATGTCAAGAACAATTTTCAGTCTATCATCTTATTTATGTTTGGGCTGTGAAAAACTTAGAATACAATTTGGAATTTTTACATTGTTATTTTGCAAATCAAAGGAGGAATTTTATGAAGCTCTATTTCAAATGGATCCCATTATGATAGTAAGACTATATAATTTCTTTACCAAATATTGTACCTTGCAAGAAGATCAGTGTAGAAACCAATGATACAGTCTGTTTGGCAGCTGATCACCTACTCTATATAACAGGGAAAAGTTTTATTTAATTTTAGAGTCTAATTCTAACTTATAAGTTTCTTTTTGTTTGTTGTGACTCTATGTAGAGTTTCCTTGCAACAGGAATAATTCCTAAATATGTTCATAAAAGATTTGATTTGATTTGAAATACTGTTAGCTCAAATTGAATTTTTAATGATAAAATATATTTTGAGATCAAACTGTCTTGTAATCAGATTGACATTCCATTAAAAATAACAATGTAAAATGAAACAAAATACTATTTTTTTCATGTTTTGAAAAACAGTTATTCATTTATTTAATTTTATACTTGTTATTTGTAATGGGACATTGATTGAGAGGTTTTGGTCTTTGTAAAAATTTCATTGCTAAAAATTTGATCCATACATCCCATTTTAGTGTTTGGTTTTGTTGATTATTTCTTTGAAAATAATTATTTAAAAAAAATAAAAAACATCAGCTTAAAATGTTAACCACTGCCATAATGTGAAAAGATTAGTATCCTATATTAATTATAAAATAGAATTAAAAATAAATAACAAATATACAGTAGAGCATCGATTATCCAAATGCTGATCAACCGAAAGCATTCCAGTCAGACTGTGTTGTGCTGAATCGAACGTTTTTGATACTAGATTAACTTCTAAAGTATAATTTTTTTGTTTTTATATTTTTCAATATATTTATTTTGTTTGAACAAAATAAAGAAATAATTTTTAACGATACAATAGTCACAATTATTATTATAAAAATTTTTGTTAGGCTTAACATTGACAAAAATTCAACGTGAAGCGACATGCAATGGAGAAAAATTTAAACTTGGGATATATTAATATACTATTATTGGGATGTACTAATATACTATATTAATAATGTATTTTTTCGTACATAATCGGTTATCCGAAAAATAGATTTTCCAAACAATCGTAGTCCCCAATTGATTCGGATAATCAATGCTCTACTGTACTTTCAACATTTTAAAATTCATCTTCAGGTGAGCAATATAGAATATTTGTGTAATAATTTTTAAAAATCTTTTACATTGACTGAACATAAGAATGTGTTCCAAACCTAAATGTATAGTGCAAAGTAAGTGTTAGAATTTGAATGCATTTGAAAAAGTTTTGATTTAAATTTAAAACAAATACAGAGGATATTCACAACATACATACATAAAATGTTGTTTGGTCAACATAAAAATTTTTTTAAAAATCAGTATTTAAACTGTATTTTTTATTTGTCTGAAGATGACATTTTGAGATCTGAAAGGACTTGCATATATTCAATTTATCAAATAAATAAATTTTATGCCAAAAGACAGTATATTTCCTCTGTAAGACTGTAGACAACTTTAAAAATTGTATAATGTTTTTCTTATCAAGCACTAGAACATTTAAATGCAATTTCTTTTTAAAATGATAATTGATTTTCTAAGTGATACATTTAAAATTTATGTTTCAAGTTTTCTTAATTTGTTGGTAGCACATTATATTTTTTTAAACATTTTGAATGTTTTCTTCTTTAGAATTTATGGTTGTAAGTTTGACATTACATTTAAAATCTTTGAAATTTAACGTGTAATGTTCCAAGTAAGAATTGCCTGGAGAGACATTATTTTTCACACTAACATTGTTAGACATTTTTATGACCTGCTGGTGTAAAAAGATTTTGAAAGTTTTTCTCAAGAAATTCCAAAGTACTAAAAAACAGAGTTATGAGTATATTGCACATGTTAATGCATTTGAATCTAACTTTATTTACTAAACATTCTTGTTCACTGAGTTTTTGATTATCCAAGATACTCTTGATCCACATTATCTTAGATAAGTAGGACTATGTTGTACTGTCATTACAAATAACTCTTAGAAGTATTCTGGATAAAAGCATATGACAAAATGCAAAATATGAGTATATCTTGTTGTTCAAATGATTTTTTAAATTTCTGTTTACTTTAAAAATTTCTAAAAACATAAAGTTAAAACTTTCTTCTTCTTCATTACTGGAGAAAATCACACACACCTGAAGCAGGCATTGGATAAGGTCGAAAGCATTCATTCAAAGTTTTCATTAAAGTTTTATAACTAAAGTTATATATATTAGCAGAAATATTGCATTTTTTTTTTTTAAATAATGTCTTTAATAATAATAATAATAATAGTATTATTATTTTTAGTTGGTATTATTTATATTCTAGTTAGTTTCATTATTATTTTTATTGTAAAAATATTCTAAGCCCCATGACTCTATCCACATTATTTTGAAGCTTAAACTAATGTTAGAATACGGTGGTGCCTCGTATAATGTATGCCTCGAATAACGGACTTTCTGTTTGGCCGTTACGTGACTCGAGCAACAGACTGGCTGCGAACAACGGACCTTTCGTTCGGCAGTTACGTGAGGCGAACAACGGTCTTTCTGCGAACAAGTGCGAATGATGTTTCCACACTTTTGCCATTGCCAATGACAATCTGCTATTTTTATAATATATTAGTATTATTAGAATATATTATTAGTATATCTGAAGTACAGAGCTCCCGTTGGGATTCGGCTTGCTCCCTTGTTTATTACGTACATCACCTCAGTGCAGGGTATTTACATTTATTCAAGTGTTGTGCAAATTCATGGCTTCTAAACAAACAGAAAGGTGATTTCAATTGAAACAAAGAAGAAATCATCAGAAGGAGTGAAAGTTGACAAAAACTTCCTTGTCAAATGAGGAGAGATTCAGGAGTTTACCAACACTCACTATCCAAACATAGCTGAGGCCAACAGGATCAATGATCTCTACAATGACACCTTTGCCTGTCATTTCCGACAGGTGTTGAAGAAGAGAGAGAAACAGACTACCTTGGACATATTTTTCAAGAAGCAAGCTGCCAAAAAACAAAGAATGGAACAAGAGTAGTTGATTCTGCAAGCTCTGGTAGCCTCTCTTGAATCTGACTCCGATTAAAAAATAATAAAACGAGACCTGCTGCAATGTGTAAAAAGTCTGTATCTGTATGAATGTGTGAAGTAAGTGTTCCTCCACCTCCTCCTCCTCACATCTGACTACCTGGCATAATTGGTGACTGCTCCATTTTCATTTTTTTCATAGTACAGTATGGTTATTTTATGCTGCGGAACGAATTATATGTTTTAACATGTATTTCTATGGGAAAATGCGTTTTGTATAATTGACTTTTCACTTAACGGACGTGCACCTGGAACGGATTAAGTATGTTATACGAGGCACCACTGTATTACTAAAGATTGGTTGAAAGAAGGAATTTAACATTCTGAAATAATAGGAAATCATTCTTGAAAGTTTATGAAAATTTGCAGGAAATCTAGTCAGAATAGAAAAATCAAATAGAACTTGTTGCTAGAAAGTGTTATCTTTATAATGGAAAAATAGGAAGCCATTAGTTTGTGAAAATGTTACAAAGAATTACTACTTGTCCAATATGTTTATTTTTGCACAGATAGTAAAAATACAATGTTAAAATTATTTTTAAAATTTCACAATTAAAAAGTGATCAAAATGATGTACTGGTACCAGCATACATGATTACTGATATCTGCTATTGAATGTAACTTCACATAGGTTTTAAAGAAAACAATGTATTTCTATATAATTGCAATATTTTGTAAAATAATCAAAATACTTAATTCTTACATTTATCATAAATGATTTTTGACTCTTGTAACTTTATTTTTTAACAGTGCAGACTTCCATCATCTCAAATATTTTTCCAAATTCTGAATTTTGGAGAAAATGCAAGATAAACCACTTGAGATTCTTACTCTTCATACACATATCTTGGAGATAGAATTGTCACTAAATAGAAATGATTTTCTTATATAAAAGGTATAAATATTTTGTTTTAAATTTGAGAATAAAGTTTAATTTTAAGATTGGTGCACAGTAATTTCAAGCAATACAAATAAAGAACAGTATTTTAATGTTAGAACTTTATTTTTAACAAATAATTATAAGGTAGTTTGAAATTATAACTATAAACTGATAAATAAATGTTATTTTGATTTGAATACATGAAAGCAATTCCAGATGAGATGTGATGACTCATTTAACACTGTATATGAAATAAAAATAATGATTAACATTAATATATTAAATTTTATTGGAATTTATACTATTAAAAATAAATTGGCAAATATAGTTATGTAACTTGGATTTCATTCATCTATTCAGCATGATTCATGTGCATTTGTGTAAACTAGATAATGAATAAATTACTGAACATATTATTTCTTAATTCTAAACAACAACACACAACACCAGGGTGTAGTAAATAATGTAGTCTATGAACTGATGACTGGTTCATAGAGTATGTTTATACCTGAAGAAGAACTCGGGAGTTTGAAAACATTAGTGGTAAACTTTCTCTCTTTTTTTTCTCATCACACACTGGTCATTGGTTCATTCTGCAAACATTTGATATTATTGTGTTTTTATTATTAAAATTATTGCCATTTTACTCATATCATTTTTTAAAAATTATTTTTATCAATCTCTCAATTTGATCTGTTATCAAGTAATATTAAAAAAAAGAATTGAAAGTTTTCAGATTATTAACTCGCATCAAACAGTAGCATTTTATAAAAAACTGTAAAACAAAACTGGAATCAGTTGTAAATATCAAAACATCCTTTTCCTCTTTCCAGCAACATTTTTATTAATGGAATAAACAAACATCTTTAGCATGATTTATAGACCTATCTAGATTTACTGTTAACTCTATGTAAATTCCAAAATAGAATGTTTTTATATTAGGGTTGACAGTAGACCTATAAATCAGGCCGAAAACATTTGTTCCATTATTAAACATTTTGCTGGAAAGAGAAAAAGGTTATTTTTTTTTATATTTATAGCATTTTATTTAATATTTTATCTAAAATCTAATCAGTTTGCATAAACTAAAATGTATTGCATTTAGTTTAAGTAGAAAAAAATTTCTATATGATTGTTGTTTTTTTAAAAACAAATTTTTAAAACATTATTATTCATACATTAGTACAAATACATCAAATGAATTAAATATACAGTTATTAGTTATTATTGATATTTAAGTATCTTGTTCTGTTTAATATCAATATTGAAGGATTTGAAGCATAGTGTCACTTTTTAACAGACTTATCATATAGAAGACTTGGAGATGACAGGAATAAAACTAGACTTTATTGGTATAACTGTTACAAAAATGCATTTTTAACAGTTATACCAATAAAGTCTAGTTTTATTCCTGTCATCTCCAAGTTTTCTGTACGATAAGTCTGTTAAAAAGTGACACTCTGCTTCATATCCTTCAATACAGTTATTATGTTTCAGTTTCATTGGTAGAATCAACAAGAATTTTGTAGTAGAGAGATTTTGGAGCATGGAAAAATTTAATGACTTTGAGAAAATACAGAATATATTCATACGTAAGATATTCCAGCTAGAATATAATATCCCGGGTAGTGCCTTAAGATTAGAAACAAATAGATTCAGAATAAATACTATACTAATAAAAAGATATTTAAAGTTTTTACTCAAAATTATTAAGGCTGAAGATATAACAACAAAATTGCTGTTCTTACTATATCACAAGTCAAGGGAAACGGACTTAAGACGAAGTTGGATAATTCAATTATCGAAGATAGTAAATGAATGTGGATTTTCTATTAAACTGTTTATGGATCGTACGTATGATATGGAGCAGTATAGTAAAGAAATAATACACAGAGTTATGGAATACTCTATTATCCAAGACGTTGAAGATATACAAAAACGAGAAAATACAAGCTGGTATACAACAATTCTAATTTATCCAGTAAATAACAACTATATATTGACAAATATAGCTTTCAACATTAAAAAGTNCTTGTTCTGTTTAATATCAATATTGAAGGATTTGAAGCATAGTGTCACTTTTTAACAGACTTATCATATAGAAGACTTGGAGATGACAGGAATAAAACTAGACTTTATTGGTATAACTGTTACAAAAATGCATTTTTAACAGTTATACCAATAAAGTCTAGTTTTATTCCTGTCATCTCCAAGTTTTCTGTACGATAAGTCTGTTAAAAAGTGACACTCTGCTTCATATCCTTCAATACAGTTATTATGTTTCAGTTTCATTGGTAGAATCAACAAGAATTTTGTAGTAGAGAGATTTTGGAGCATGGAAAAATTTAATGACTTTGAGAAAATACAGAATATATTCATACGTAAGATATTCCAGCTAGAATATAATATCCCGGGTAGTGCCTTAAGATTAGAAACAAATAGATTCAGAATAAATACTATACTAATAAAAAGATATTTAAAGTTTTTACTCAAAATTATTAAGGCTGAAGATATAACAACAAAATTGCTGTTCTTACTATATCACAAGTCAAGGGAAACGGACTTAAGACGAAGTTGGATAATTCAATTATCGAAGATAGTAAATGAATGTGGATTTTCTATTAAACTGTTTATGGATCGTACGTATGATATGGAGCAGTATAGTAAAGAAATAATACACAGAGTTATGGAATACTCTATTATCCAAGACGTTGAAGATATACAAAAACGAGAAAATACAAGCTGGTATACAACAATTCTAATTTATCCAGTAAATAACAACTATATATTGACAAATATAGCTTTCAATATTAAAAAGTTTTTTATGCAGATTAGGTTAAATAAAAATGGAATAATTATAAATGACAAATATATAGATTATACCCAATCTAAATGTCCAAATTGTACCAAAAATTTATCTAAAATTCATATTTTATGTGAAAATTGTGACGAAAAAGATAAACTACAAAGGCTCCAGATTGAGCCACTGACTAAATGTATTAATGAGCAGGAAATGTACAAGACATTAGATAGAGCTGATGTTAACACGATTTATAAGATATATAACTACGTCAAACAACTAGTTAAATAATAATTATGACAAAATATTAATATAAATATATTGATTAATAAATGGTAAATACTAATATTGTTAAATAATTATTATATGAAATGTTAATATGCGTTTTATCAAAATAAAACGCCCTTGTAACAGGCAAAAGCCTTCTACGCCAATAAATAAAGATTACTTACTTACTTATATACCCCCACCAATGGGTAGTCCCACCCATACAAAAAGGCTTCAAATGGTCCACAATGTTCCAGAACATTCCACAACATTCAAGAGTGTTCTGGAATGTTCCACAATGATTTGGGATGTTCCTGAACATCCTGGAACATTTTGGAATGTTGTGGAATGCTCTTGAATGTTCTGGATTGTTCTAAAAATTTCTAGAGGGCAAAACTTCTAGCTCTTATATCTTCAGCAGTATGCCCTTCAAGTAAAAACGGGAATATTTTTCATGGATGGGGGATAGATGGCTACCACACCATATAACTCCCTTGATCGTACTGGGACTCGTTTTTGAGTTTTAGCGGCATGCACATTGTACACTTACCTTTATTACATAAATTGATTTATATTGATTTCAATTAAACTGGTGGATAAAACTAATTATGGTTGTGTTTTAATTTAACATTTTAAGTTTTAAGATGATTACATCTTAAAATATTAACATTTTTCTCAAATTACTAATCAAATTTTATCATATTGTGATACTCTAATATGTGTTTGCCATTTGTGAAAATGTTAATATTTCTCACCTGCATTATATTGAAATTGATATTCTAGATACAGTTTCAATATAATAAAATATAAGATTTAAAATAAATATTAACTATTGAAATTTTTTAGTTTTAACAATGAGTACAAAATGATGCTTTATTATCTCATAAAATTTAAATTTTGTAAAATTTATTGTTTAAAAGTTCATATTGGTACCTTAGAAATTTATGAAATGTTTAACAGTAAAAATAATTTCATAAATGTCAAAATTTAAATTTTGAAACAAATTTCGTTGATTATCATACTGAAATTTTCTTTAAAAAAGTAAGATTAAATTTGAGTCAAGAAGTAAAAAGTATTTTACTTTTTTTATGTAAAAATACATTTTTGAAGATTTTGATTTAGCATGCAAAAAATTATATAAATTTCTTATTTCTGATGGTAGAAAACTAACAATGAACCACCGAAGAAAGTTCGACCAAAGGTAATAAATTGTGGAAAATGTGAAGCATGTTTAAGAGAAAGTGATTGTGGAGAATGTAGTCATTGTCGAGTAAGTAAAAAATTATACAAAAGTTTTGAAATATTTACATATTTTTTATATTGATATTAAGGACATATCTGTATATGATTTGAAAATAATTTATTAAATAATGTAAACATTATTATTCTGGAATTGGTATAAATTAATTATACAATTTTAAATTATATTAATAGGATAAACCTCGTTTTGGTGGTCCAAACAGAATAAAGAAGAAATGTCGACTGAAAATTTGTATTAAAAATTTGGTAAAATATTTATTTTATATTTTAAGAATAGTGTATTAAAAGTAATATTTATAATTTTTTATTTTTAGTGTTTGAGTTATTTTTTAGTAGCATGTGACTCCATTGTAAAACAAGTGGTAACAAAATACAAAATGTTTAGAATTCTGGAGGTTTATACAAGATTAAATGTTCTATGAAACATTATATCTCACTTTCAAATTATCTCAAAAAACTTAAATTAAAATTAAGAACAAAGAAGAGCCTTTAAAAATATTTCTGGAATGTTTTTAGGACTCTTCTTTTTTAATTGAATTTTATTTAAATCACCTGAAGTTGAGGTAAAAATGCCTATAAAAGATTTGATCACATAAACCTCTAGACCAGGAGAGTCAAACTCAAACTACTTAAGTGCCAATTTTTTGTCTGGAGTATGACACTGGGCCAGATGTTTTTAGCTTTTGTA